TGCACACTCCCCTTGCTGAGAATCGAACCGCGTAATTTGACTATGATTACAGCTTCATTAGAATAACATTTGCTGTCACGTTGGTGACATGCTGCTGAGAGTATCGAACCATTGATCTGTCATCTCCAGCTGTTCATGTCAAGGGTGCTGACAAGATATCCAAACTCCTGCCAGTAGATACGAGAAGAGGCGATTCTTGCTTGAGCCAGTTTTAAACACATGGCTTGAAACCATTCACTGCTCTGGGAGCCTCCGTCTTCGTTTTCTTTCCCCTCCCTCAGCACTTTATTAAATTAATTCTTTCTACCTATTTAAATGCTCAATAATACATGTAGTATAGAAAGAAAATGCCTCTAAAATCTAATCTGGAGGATGTGCGAATGCAGATATAGCCCTAATAATGCCATCTGCTTAATGTTGAATTCCTACAGCATTTAGGGCTTAATTAGCTTGGAAGTATTTTTCCATCAATAGCTTTTGTTGGTAGTCAAATAGTGAAGGAAACCTCCTCAAGCAGAGCCCGCTTGGGCTGCAGGTTGCTGTTCGATGCATTGTCTCTGTCAGGATTTCCACTGCTGTGTTACCTAATTGTTCCTAATCAGAATAATTGCAACAATTGCTTATGTGAGGAAATCAAATTAAAGGCTTTAAAATCCTCCATGGAGACAGCGCTTCATGGGCGCTCACATCAGGGAGTTTAGAAAGGTTAACACCGCTGTCCCTCGCTCCGGGAAGCCTTGCGTGGGGCTAGCTGTAAGACCCCAGCAGCCCAAGGGAGGCAAAAATGGGGCTGAGAGGTTGGATGCTGCTTTGCGGAGAGCTTTACTCCAGAGGGACATTGTACAATCGGTCGCAGAAAGAAGCGCCATCCTCTGCTGGAAAGTCTGAGGCAGTGACACGAAGCCAAAGACGGTGCTCTGCGGAGGTGACATCTCACAGCCATGCAAACTCCCAACTCTCCTCGGTCCCTGGTGCTCTCCAGAGAGCACATAGCGGTGGAAACATACAGCAGCATGTTTCTAGGTTAAAATGAGATTCGGGTCAGGCAGCTTCTGGGGCATGCTACTTTATTCAGGAGCGGAAGGTGTCAAGTGAGGGAAAAGGAGTGATTTCTCTTGCTGAAGCACTGGAAATGCTGCTAGTGAGGCTGCATAATAGCAGCTGATTGCCTGTCACCTGCCACCAGAAGATTTTGGGCACGTCATTTGCTAGTTCTAGCTGGAATAAGTGTCTGTGCAGGGGTTTTAGTCTAGGTTATTTCCTCCTGGTTAGTCCCCAAGGTGGATGTGCATCCTCCAGATTAACGTTGGCCCGTTTCTGAAGTGGATCCAGAACATCCGTCCCTGTGGGAAGCTGATCAAGAATAGTGGATTCACTTTAAATCCACACTGTACCCTAAACAAGCATCTCCTCAGAACTGTAAGGAGGAAAGAGAGACACAGCCTGGAGAGGAAAGGGATGTGTGGCTTTGCTTGTTACTGCCACACAGTGCCTGTGCGTGCCCAGCCCTTCCATTTCACCCCCTTTCCCATGTCCCCTTGGAGCTGTATGAATTGGAGCATGTGAGAACTGTTGTCGGTGAGGGATGCCGTCCCAGGATGCCCGTGTTTTCTCCTGACTGGAGGGAACACAAGTTGCACTCCCTGCGAGCCCATTTGGTACAGGGAAAGGAAAAGTGGAGGAGGAATGCCAGGTAACAGTGCAGTTGTATCATCCCGTTAATGCTGCACAACTTCCATCCCTCCACAAGCAGAGCTGCTGCGGTGTCTGATAAGATCACCTCTGCTCTGGTTGCCTGATGTCTCCTATCGGAAATCTTCAAAGGTCCAAACGTGCTGTTGTTGAGATGGCAAGCAAAAAGAGAAGAGAGAGAGGGAGAGGGTGGATAAGATCACAATTTTCTTCTCTCTTGATTGCAAGCAGCTTATCTGAGTTTAACTGTTGTGGCTCGGCCTGTCTCTGCAAAACTCATCCCCTTTTCTTGCCTTCCTTTCAGAGGGTTGACGAGTGGATGGCGAAGGAAGGCCTCTTAGATCCCAGCGTCAAGTCGATTTTTGTGACCTGTGGAGACTGGGATTTGAAAGTGATGTGAGTATGGAAGGGGAGGGAGATTTTTCTGGGCTTTATTGCTCCATGCTTGCCTGTAGTGTGTCTTTGTCCTTACAAGCCTCTGACTGTCCGTAGTCTTTGTTTCTTAGGGAAATTTTTGTTTGCCATGCATAATTGGGAGTGAAGGGTTGTTTAAGAAGACAGGTGGGTGCTTGGCATAGTGCAAGATCACTGCCTAGGATATTCCCTATAGGGAATGAATCCTTTCAGAACTCCAGGAAAGGTTTAAACTGGAGCTTTGCAATGTTTTCCCTTTTATCCAATGTACTTTCCAAAGGACTGGATATTTCTGAGCGCATACGTGGAACTCTGTTTCTGTACGCCCAAATCAAGCAATGGTCCTTACCTGACTTGGCATCCAAGGCTTTCTCTCTGTCATCTTGGCACACTAACTAGATGTGAACCACAGAGTAGTCTTTGGAAAGAGAGTACAAGCCAAGTCTGGCACGGTTCATCGGTGTTCTTATCGTTAAGGTCATCTTCATCAGCTGGGCGACTGTATCTGGAGAGCACCAGGTGGGGACCTGCACCAAGATCTGCAAGTCTCAGTGTATGTGCATGTTTTTTTATGAAAATAGCTAGGCCACCAACCTAAAAATGTTATTTAAAAAAACTGAGTTAAATGTCTAAGAATTAGATGAGTCTGATCTGTAAGGTGTTTGCAGTTCAGTGTCATATTGTGCTGAATTCACTTGGATTCCAGTAATCTCGCTTCAGCTTTTTGTTTCCTCAGAGCACTAGGTAAAGACTCCTGTTGTTATCACACTGGTAAAGCATGGGCTTGACACATCCTGTGCTAAACTGACATCCACAACTCGTTAGTCGTGTTACTTGGTTTTCCATGTGACATTGGTTCCCCCAAGTCGGAAGCCTAAATAAACTGCACACAGCCTCGGAGCAAACAGCACCAGTTCTTCCCTGCAGAGTGGTCTTTGTAGAGTGGCAGCTCCTTGCCTCTTCTTGGTGTGATTAGTGAGACATGAGATACGAGGACCGAAGTAGCAGCACAAGCGCTAGCGGAGATGAGAAATTTGCCATGCTCTAGACAGAAGTGTGGTATGTGAGCTTTTGAGTCAAAATCTGGGTCTCTGCTGGGGCCAGGTCCAGAGCTGGTATATATTGCCAATTCCTGTGTTACTGGTTTAAATTAAGAATGAGGCTTATTTTTCTTGATATATCATGTTTAAACCTTTATTAGAGACCAGCACCAAGACAGCTGCAGGGATGTGCTAAACTTCTGTTTCTCATCTGTTCTGTTTTCTCAGTTCTTTACTCCTGTACTGCTGTTCTGAGAGTCCAGTTTACTGCTTTTGGTGATGGCTGTGAGGAACAAAGTTATCTGTGCTCAAAGCCCATCTTTCCATCGCTTTCCCAGTGGGTTAACAAGGTTTTCAGATAACGACATCCTAACTTGGTGTCTGTATGGAGTGGGCAACCTTCTGGATGTTTGGGGTTTTTTTTGCTTCAGAGCTCTACAGTGGGCAAATAGAGGTAAAGATGAGCCCCGTTTCTGGTGAGTCGTAGGGGTTGTGGGGTGAGCTGGCTCAGCAGGCCGTGCAGTTCTGGAGCAGAGATACTCCATTCGCCATTTGCAATGGTCTCTCGCATGGATTGTGCCTCACTAGTCAGCTGGAAAAGAAGACTCCACTCCTGGCCATGAGGTTGCAATGAGTGGTTCATTTCTCCTTCTTCCTTTTAAAATTTTTTTTTAAACCATTAACTTCAGAATTCAATCCTGAAGCATCTCCAGGGCAAAGCAGAAAATACATTTCGTGCTTCCAACCACATGGATAGCGTGAGTCTGGCTGCAGCCGCTTGGTGAGTAGCGCATCACGCCGCTCCGTCGCCGATTGGGTGCAGCAGCGTGTAGCGTCACATCTGATTAGCGCCGTGCCAGTGAATGAGGCTTGAGTGAGGACTCCCTGCCAGCTCTGACTTGTCTCATTTCCCATTACTTTTATCCGTCACCACAAATGCCGAGTCTCCCTCCTGAACTAATTAAGTTTGCGTGTGTTTAGACACATTGCCAAATAGGGTTTAGCAAAGCAGAACTGAGCATCTCTTTTTAAAGAGGGAAGGCAGAAAGCTGAAACAAGGCTGCTCAGACAGGGAGGTAGAGCCTCAGAGATGTGGAACATCTAGGATGCATTCCAGGGAATCACCCCGTGCTTCCCTACAAGACTTGTGGCATAGCTGGTGTCCTTTGCTACCATGTGGACACCACACGCTGGGCACGGAAGGCACTGGGGCAGTGAGAAGGCAGGTGGTGCTGCTTGTCCACATTTGGAGGAGTGTGTTGGTGGAAGCGTTGCGGGGTGGAAACCCCAGTGGGTTCCAGAGGAATTCAGGACAATGAGGTGAGTGCAGTGCTTCCTGGCTAAGGGAGCAGCAGTTTGGGGCAGGTCTGTTCCCAGCTCTGCTGCTCCTTTTCTTAGCTTCCTTAGTAATGATAGCTGCCAGCACAGCTGCCCGTGAAGCAAGCTGCAGTCCTCTTACTCAGTGTCTCATGTGGTTCGGAGTTCCTGTCCTTAACTCGGCTGTTGGTGGGAAATCGTGAAGCCTTGTTCCTGGCTTCGCCAGCAATGACCTGGGCATTTAGTTTGGCTTCTGTCTGCATGTGCTGTTGAATTGGTGAGGCATGGTATCTTCTGGACAGGCCTGTCTATTCTGGGTGTTTCCAGCGGGTGCCACTAGTAGGTGCCAGGGCACTGGGAGGCACAGTGGCGTGAGCAAGCTGCGTGGGGGGTAGCAGCTGGAGCAAAGAGGAGGAATATACAAGCCTATCAGTGGTGGATATGGGGGCACGGTGAGCAAATAGTCCTGTCAAAGCCAGGAGCTGGAATATGTGTAGCACTCCTAGCTCAAAGAAACGCGCCAGAGTAGCAGTTGTCAAGGTACTGACTGTCTGCTGATGGTGTCTAGCGCTATCTGAGTCTGCAGGATTCAAGATGGAAACTCAGCTGCTAAAGGACCTGCAGAGCCTCTGCTTGGCTCGGGGATCTTCAGGGAATATGTGGCTGCAGACTTGATTTCTCTTGAACGCTGGAGCTTTCTTGGAAGATCAGAGAGCTGTTTGTCTGGCTTCCCTCTGACAACAGGGAGCGCTAGTCACAAGGAGCTGGGTGCCCAGAAGAGGACACCAAGCATCTGGGAAGGGCTTATGGAGGTTCAGCATGAGTCAAGGTCCTCGGCCATGCCACCAAAGGCTTTGTCATGGGCGCGGTGCACCATCAGAAGGAGAGTCCTTGTTGGAGGGATTTGGTTGCTGCCGGAGAGAGCCCATTGCATGAGGGGGCTCAGAAGTGGAGCGCTGATCTTCTACTGCTTGCGCTTGGATCAACCGGCTCTCAGTGCTCGGTGTGTGTGAACCAGGCTGGAGTCGGGGAGACAGCAGCTCTCCTGCCACCCCTCCCCTTCCCTCTTGTTAAGATGCAATTTCTTTAATGAGGAAAACCTCTTGAGTAGGAACATCACCTTTCTGAAGGCTTGTCCTGACAAGGCAGTTCAAGCCGACAGAGTCGCATATCAACTTCAGCAAATATCAGTCACTCATTACAGAGACTCTTCTCCCCCCCCAACCCCCCAGCAACACTCCTCGTTCGCAGACAAGGGAATGAATCACACTCCTGCTCTTGAATACATCATGACAAGTAGTGGTTCTAATGAGAGAGGGCCATTCATTCTGGGTGGAAAGTTCCCTGTGTCGACACAGAAATGTTATTAATTAAAGAGAGCTACCTGAAGCAAAAGATGAAAGGAGCACCAGACCTGCCAAGCTAAAATATGAGTGGGGATACAGCCTCGTTAGGCACACGGTCCTCAGGCCTCCGAGTGCTCAGCGGGAGGATTCCTTTAGCCTGTTGCAAGGAGCTATCCTCCAAGTTTAACAGCTCCAGGGTCGGATTCAGACACCTGGTGTAGTCTGCTTTAGTGCTTGGGCCTCATCCTGCACCTAGGATGGAGCTGTCACTAGTGATTAGGCAAGTCGCATTGATGCAGCATTGGGTGGTGAGGGTAACATGCCTCTGAAGGGCTGAGGGAGCTGCTGACTGCAGGAGACGGTTTTAGTGGAAAGAGGGTACTCGGTGTCTGCCAGGGTTGAGCCCTTGTAATGTAAGCTCTTCAGTGGTGGTTTATCTTCTCTGAAATGTCAAATTGCCTCCCTCCATGTATGGAACCGGTTTACCTGCTCTTAAGCACAACGCGAATTAGTCTCGCAACCAAAGAAGCATTTTTACTGTGTGTTCATAGCTACAGGGCTGAGATACGGTGAGGTTAAGTGATATGCCTATGGTCGTGCAGGCAGGCAGAGGCAGAGAAAGGAGCTGAAGCCACGTGTGCTGAATCTCAGACCTGCATCTTAATGTCAAGAGCATCAGTTAATCCTTCTCCTTCCAGTTTTGGATCATTCTGCAAACACATTCAACATAGGTAAACACATATGTAGGCTTTGGTCTGTATACCTCCGACATGAAGATGCTTTTACTGTACTTACTGTGGCTGATCAGAACATGCTAATTTATGTCTTTACAGGAAACTACTGCTCAGAAGTTTTTTATTTTCTTAAATAAGTGTTAAAAGGCAAGTACTCTCTAATATAGTAATAAAACACAGTGAAGTGTCTTGAAATGTTTATAGCCCTTGGTGCTCTTCCTAGGTTGCATATTAGTAAATTCTGAGCAGTAAATTATACCATTGCTTGATTTTATCTTACTGTTTTAATTCTTTCTTTGCAAGTTACACAGTCTGGGAGGATGCTTGCCTTCTCAGACCAGCTCCAAGTGTGGCAATGGGTTGGTCTTTCCAGCCTTCTGTCCTGGAGGCTTGGTTTGAGATCAGCCTTAGGTCATGAGTGAAGAAGGATTGATGGTGTTAGTGTCCCCTGTGCATGCTGTTCTTTATCACGGGACCGGGAGGGGGTTGGTAGCCTCTGCCTGGGGGAGAAATTGCAGGCAGCCACTGAATGGAGTGAGTGGGAC